TGAGGGCAGGGACCATATGGCAGCTCAACGTCCAGACCCTGGCTGCAGGCTGGGCACTTAGCATCTGCCCAGTAAATGCTATTGGGATAATGAGTGAACACAAGGATGCCCGCCCACGAGAGGACTCCCTGCTCTGGGCCCGCTGGGAAGTGCTGTGACCAACATTACCGACTCGATCAAGTCCAGGGCTTCCGAGAAGCTGGACCCCTCGGCTGGAATCAGGAGGTTGGCAGCCTCCACCACCCACTTATACGGCAAGCTGATTTCTGGAGAGGAGCCCTCCTGGTCTTCACGCTTGGGGGTGTCGTCTAAGGGCTCTGGTGTGCACACTCGGTCCAGCTCTGCAGGGGCAGCTTCCTGCTCCTCAGCCGGGGCTGCTGCTGAGGTCTCCTCCTCACTGCTGTCCTCTTCCTTCATGGCAGGGAGCGCTGGGGACCAGCTGCTCCCAAGACTTCCCTGTTGGACACAGGGCACACCGTTTGTGGAGCTTTTGTTATGAGATAAAGATCATGCCATATTCCAGCTAAAAATCGCACAACCTGAATCGAATAAGGAACCCAAATTGAGAGTCTCTAAAATATCAACATTATGAAAGACTGCAGTTAAAAGTGGGCAAAAAGAGATAGGACAACTAAATGCAATGTCTAATCCTGGATCAGGAACAGGAAAAAATGGAATATGGACTATAGATTAGATGGAAGTAAAAAAAAAAAAAAAAGTCCTGAATCAGTGTTAAATTCCCTGAATTAGACGTTAACTGTGCTGTGGTTATATAAGTGAATGCTTGGGTTCTTTTTTTTTTTTATATATTTTTTTATTTTTCGCTTAAAGTATTACAAAGGGTATTACATAAGTGTCCTTTTTTTTCCCCCCCGCCCTTGACACACCCCTACCCTCCCTTACCCCCCAGTGTCTTATGTCCATTAGTTATGCTTATATGCATGCATACAAGTCCTTCGGTTGATCTCTTACTCCCCTCCCTCCTGCCCCCCAACTCTCTCTGGCCTTCCCACTGCAGTTTGGCAATCAGTTTGAGGCAGCTCTGCCTCTGTATCTATTATTGTTCAAAAGTTTGTAATGGTCTTTATTATCCATGAATGAGTGAGATCATGTGGTATTTTTCCTTCATTGACTGGCTTGTTTCACTTAGCATAATGCTCTCCAGTTCCATCCATGATGTTGCAAATGGTAGGAGTTCCTTCTTTTTAACAGCAGCATAGTATTCCATCGTGTAGATGTACCACAGTTTTCTAATCCATTCATCTACTGATGGGCACTTAGGCTGTTTCCAGATCTTAGCTATGGTGAATTGTGCTGCTACGAACATCTGGTTACATATATCCTTTCTGATAGGTGTTTCTGGTTTCTTGGGATATATTCCTAGTAGTGGGATCACAGGGTCAAATAGGAGTTCCATTTCCAATTTTTTGAGGAACCTCCATACTGCCTTCCATAGTGGCTGCACCAGTCTGCATTCCCACCAGCAGTGCACAAGTGTTCCTTTTTCTCCACATCCTCTCCAGCACTTGTCGTTTGTTGATTTGTTGATTGCTTGGGTTCTTAGGAAACACACACTGAAATCTTAATGGAGAGGCTCAATGTATGTAACTGACCTTCAAATGGCTCAGATAAAAAATAAAAATATGTGTAAGAAAGAACTGGCCAGTGTTAAACACTAAAAATGAACCCAGTACAGGTCATGTGAGAGTTCTTTGTACTATTCTTGCAACTTTTCTGTATGCTTAATATTATTTCAAAATGAAAGTTTGAAAAATTCATGTAGAGAGCATTTGAGATCTTGCTCCTTGGAATATGTCATCAATTTGGTTGAAATAAACTCATTAAAAAATGAAAAATGAGTGTATACTAATTTTGTGACAGGGAAAATAAAATACAGGAAGATCCTTCATGGCACTAGCTCTCCTGGCAGAAACTTAGAAAGCTTCACACATGAACCTGGCAGACAGATCCCAGTGTAGGGGTCTGTGGTTAAGAGGCCACATTGAGAGCGATGAGCAAGGTCCCATGTTAAGGGGGCACAATGGAGTCAAGGAGAGAACGCAAGCTCCGGAGTCACAGAACTTTGCCACTTACTAGCTGACCTTGGGCAAAGTGGAAAGAGTAACCTGTAAGACAGTGAGATATAACATAGCCTCATTTTTAACTTATTACCCTTAATAATAAGGGAGAAATTTGTAATTGCGAACACTGACCAGTGGGGAAAACAGGAGGTGCTCCCATCTACACATTAACAGGAAAAACTATTCTGGTAAGCAATCTAGCAAAATGTATTAAGAGGTTTTTTTAAATGCTTGCTCTTGGAGCACATATGAAAAAATTGGAATGATGCAGAGCATGACCCCTACGCAGGGAAGACATGGAAATTCATGAAGCATTCCATATCTTATAAAGAAAAAAAAATATTTTTTAAGAATATGACTATCCAGTTCTAAGAATTTCTCAAGAAACAACTGAGCAAACAAGCAGTGATTTAGCTACAAGACTGACCCTTAAAAGTTTTGTTTCTAATATCAAAAACATTAGATTTCACACAAAAAAGCAGAACAACTTTTTAAGTAAAATTTTTAAAACTGGATTTAACCTTAAATAACACACAGCCATTAAAACCATTCAAGTTTTGTTTCTAATGACAATAAACTGAATATAACCTTTAATTTAATGAAATAACCAGCACAATAGAACCATTAAAATGCTAGATGGCTGAGCCAACTCATTGACTAAGGCCCTGGGCTCATCAGGCCCAGCAGCCGAAAGCCACGTAGGAGTTTCAGAGACTGAGGGGGGTCCGTCTACTCTGCTCTATCCTGAAAGACAACTTCGCTGTTTGCTAGTTGTTTGCTAGCTCACGATGACAGAAAGACCAGAAAGCAGTGAAGTGTGTTACCAACACCCAGCACTGTCAAATCTTGACACTTTGACGTTTGCTTCAAATCTTCATTTTTTAAGATTCATGAGATCTATTTTTAAAATCTCAATAAGAAGTTCGCTCTGGGGTGTGGGTTTCACTTTTACAATTGCAATGTAATACTAAACGATTCCATTTATATGCCTTTCTAGGGAACCATATAAATTAAAATTAGAGAGACAGAAACAGATGAAGGGTGCCAGGAGCTAAGGGTGGAGAAGGGCTGAAGGGGCCCCAAGGGAGCCTGGGGGCGACGGAAAGGTGCTGTGCCTTGACTGTGGTGGTGGATACATGACTGTATGTTTTTGTCATGACTCAGAACTGTATCCCTCAACACAATGAATGTTTGCTATATGTGAATTATACTTCAATAAACCGGAATTTTTAAAATTGCAAACATGCTTTTAGTATGAAAAAGCCAGAAAGAGAAACAGGCAGGAAGGAAGGTGTTGATAAGGACAGAGAACTCAATTTATGTCAGTGTGCTCTGTCATGCTTCATCTGTGGGCAGACAAGTGCCAGGTATGTGCAGACGTGTGTGTGACAAGGAGAGGCACATGGCCACACCGAGACCCTCAGCAGGAACTAATGAACGGCCATGGGCAAGGTGAAAAGGGCAGAGCAGGTGTTAAGTGACACGGTGATGGGTAACCCTGCAATCAATCCTACCAACCAACCTGGAGCCAGGCCCATAGCTGGGCAGCCGTCTCACCTGGCCTTCCGAGGGGTGGCCACTCTGGGGGCTCTCCTTGTCCTCGAGCTCCAGCAGCAGGTACACAGGGGGCTTGCAGTCTTTGGACTCGCTCAGGAAGCCTCCTGTGTCCACCTTCCTTTTGATGGTGGAATTCCAGTGATTCTTCACAGCATTGTCTGTCCTGCGGGGGCAAACGAGGGACCTTTGAACCCTGGGGCCTGTGTGCCACCAATCACATCACTGACCTCCCTGAGCTGAGCTCCCACTTCTGTACATGAGGGTTCAACCTGAGGAACTCGAAGGTGTCTTTTAGCTCTTAGATGAAGTCACACATGTTTCTAGCACTTAACGATTCCCGGGAGCATTTCCACTCCCTCTGCTAAATCCTAGTACCCAGGAGTAGAGAAGTGCTCACACACAGTAGGCACTTCTTTCTTTGAGGCTCCAAGCAGAGTGCTTTGCCCCTGGATTGTGAACAGAGAACAACAGCTTGGCTGAGCAACCAGGCTAAGAGGAGGGTCTCTACCTCTGGTCACTCCCGCTGCAGACCATCAGGAAACACACACACACAGCATGTACCACGTCAGGGCCAGACTCTGAGTCCCCATCTTGCTGGGCCCCTGCCCTATTCTTCTCCACCCCTCCTCTCACAGGCAAGAGCCCCTTCCCTCCATAAACCCCCTGGACCTTTAACCTCTGCATCTGACCCTTTAACCTGACCCAAACACCTCCCAGCACTCCCACCCACAATGATCAGATCTGGGTGCTCCAAGCTACAATGCTCGTCATTCTTTTGCTCCCAGATATTTATGGAGTGCCCATTGCGTGGCAAACACTGCTCTCCAGGCACTGGAGACACACTGGCAAGGAAGACGGGCGGCTACATTTAGAGTCCACTCTAGGAGAGACGGGCATCATGGTCTCATTACAACTGGGGTACAAGCTGCTCCAAAGACAGGTGGGAGCACTGCGGCCAGGTCACCAGGGACCGACCAGAGGCTGGAAGGACAGAAAGCTTCTCTGAGGAAGTGACACTCCTACTGAAAACTGAAGGATGCGACACACTGGGCAGAAGGCAGGGGTGCACAGGGGCAGCTCAGAGAAGAGCTCACTGTGTGTAACGAAGAGAGGGATCAAGGCAGGGCTGGTGGCGTGAGCCGGGCCAACAGGCCACAGAGGGAAAGAGGCCGAGTGTTCAACCCCAGTGCTAGGAGAAGCTCCGAAAGGACAGCATGCTCGGGTTTGAGTTTGAAAACAGACCCATTTATACTTCAAGGGAAATACACCAGCTGACGTTCTATCACCTCTACCTTTCAGGACCCCAGTGTCATGAGAAAGGAAAAATTAAAAATAAAGCAAAATAAGGTAGAAATGCACAAGGACAAAGAGAACAGGGTGGAAGACAATAGCGAACAATAGTTTTATGTTTCCAGAAATTGGAGAACACGTAGGGGAGCAATAAGCCACTTAGGAGCCTGGGAATTGATCCGGAGGAAGATTCCGGCAAGAATGGAGCCAAGTCTTCCTGATGCTCCTTGTGAACCCAAGAGGCTCGGGGCTTGGAGGGACCGGGCCCGGGGAGGAGCAGGGTGAAAACAGAGCAGTGGTTTGGACATCCAGGTGCCGGCCTTGACCTCACAGGAGGGAGTTTATTCTCGAGAAAAAGGCCAGTCTGAAGGACTCATGCGTCTCTGGGCAAAGCGAACAACTCCAGAGAAGACTGGAGGACTATTCACCCACCAGGCTCTCGCCGACCTGGGAACCTCACCCTGCCTGTCACCACCGCCCCCAAGCCCCGGACGTCGCTCACCTTCCCGGCAGCATCTTGGCGATCTCGGCCCAGCGGTTGCCCAGCACCTTGTGGGCCTCACAGATGATGCGGTCCTCCTCCTCGGTCCAGCAGGACTTTTTCACCTCGGGGTTGAGGTGGTTGTGCCAGCGCTCACGACACTGCTTTCCCAACCGGCCCTTCAGGTGCTTGGCAATCAGCGTCCACTGCTTCGTGCCGTACTTCTTAACCAGCTCGATGACCTTGGAAATAAGCCTGGTGAAGGCAGCAAACCTGCCCCCACTTCACACCAGCACCTTCTCTCCACGTGGGCCTCACCGCTGCCATGAGGGGTGCGAAAACTGACCAGGGGAGGACCCACCCCCAACCTGCAGCCAGACGCAAGGGCAGCCGCGCACGCTGTCTCTTGACTCCCTGGGGTAAGTGAAGGCCCACTGTGTACAAGACACTGTCCCACTAGTTACCTTCTCGTCTTCCTCTTTGGTCCACGGCCCCTTGACAAGATCTGGATTCAAGACCCTCAGCCACCGGTACTGGCATTGCTGGTCAGTGCGATTCTGGGAGGACAGGAGTCATGAGAACTGGGGAGGCAGCCCTGCATCATGCTTGATCACTGGGCTCGGGGGACTAGAGTCTGGCCAGGTGACTCAGATGGGTTCTGTCTTGTTCCTGGAACCACCATAAGCATGGCCACATGGCAGAATACTCATGGTTTCTCTTTGCTACAAAGGACTGGGATGGAACTGGGCATACTAAGAGCCCTGTGGGAAGCCAGCTTGCTTGCCTCTGGGACAGCGTTATTTCCCTGATCGTGCTGTTTTAATCAGAGGGAGGTGAGGAATGGGGCAGAGGAGGTCTGGTGACTTGGTCCCTGAGTGACCCAAGAAATAAGCCAGACAGCAGCTCCAGCCATACACCTCTCCAAAGCAGACACCTGCAGTCCTGGGAGGGGGGATCTGCAGGACACCCCTTAAGGCAGCTCTCCCCGCAAAGCCTGCTGGAAGTACCATTTCCCCTCAGTTTCAGTCTCACTATTGAGAAACTGAGCACCAACACAGGAAGAAATGCAAATACGCACTGATTATGTGCCACTGGTCAGAGCCTGAAGACCACAGGCATGCTGAGGCTCCTGCGTGGTGATGCTGAATCAGGGTGCCTGGGAATTCCAGTTTGG